AAACGCTTTTCACTCGTCAAATCGGAAAGGTGTTCTTCTCCATGACAAGCACGTCCACATGTGGCACGTTTGACGCAACACAACATTATAGAGTTGGGAAGTTCTTCTCCACCCACCATATTGTACAGATATGGCACCATCAGATTACCATCTTGTTCGTTCGCTGCAACACCATCTACGTGGGAAAACGTATGCAAATGTGGAAGGTGTTAAAGAGGACATCGACATGTTTTTTTTTTTTTTGCTTCAAAGCTAATTGATTTCTTTAATCACTGCATTAACAACCTGATTGTAAGATGGAAAAGCATCATCGATAAGAATGAAGACTATTTCATTTAATAAAATGTTTTGTTTTGATATAAAAGTTGTTCGGATTTTTTCATCTAAAAAAAGTGACATTAATTTCTTGATGACCTAATAGAAGAATTAACAGTTCCAAGATTATAGGAGAGTTGTGTCAGTCGAAATAAGTGCTTCGGTTGTTACGAAGTTTGTGATAAGCCAATCATTGCTGCAAACAATGACTCAATTTTGTTACGTTGTTATAGACTGTGCTTTGATGAAATAGGATGTAACTTGTAGTTTCTCTCGATTACGTGTAAACTTTTAGATAACTGTACGACTACGTTAAAGCAATTAAAAACATAAGAGCACAATAAAATCAGTATATGTTTTTTTAATTTAACGCAAGGCTACTTAAGGGCTATCTATTCTAGCCATCCACAATTTTAAAGTAATAGACTATACTCTCTATAGGGAAGAAGCTAGTCAACACCATACACCGTCAACTCACAGATTACTCTTCATCTACGAAAAGAGGGATTGATCCTTACGTTATAACGCCCCTACATTGAAAGGGCGAGTATGTTCAGTGACTGACGGGACCTGTCAATGTATGGATTTAGCGGCAGTGCTCTCCAGCACAGATGGACATAAGTCAAAGGTTGAAGGAATTGATTTAGTTCAAGAGATCCAAAAATTTTTCGCGAGGATCACGAGTTCAAGAAAATAAAAATAATAGACGTACACATTTTACTGTCTTATAGTGGTGCCATCTGTTATCCAGAGTCTAAATTGTATAGAAAACGGAAGGGAATAACTTTGAATTACTTCTATTATATCAAACGAATCCAAATATCTATACAGCATAGGTGTTAATTAAACATTAAATATAAAACAAATATTATGTTTTACAGACTTACGTATATCGACGTTTATTCAACATAATTAATCCATATTTACATCAATCTATCAAGTGTTTACAACGAAAAACAAATATACATTTTAACCTTCCTTTACATCACCTAACGGACTGCTTTCACTTGCAAGCAATAAATAAAATTTCAATTTAAAGTGAAGCAGAAAAGGTAAAATATATTGATTCAAAGACGACTTCTGCTCACATAGTACTTCTTTTTTTTTTTCACATTCTTAAACCGATACTTAATCTCAGCGCTAAGAATGACTGCAGATTAGTTTAGTAATTGTTAATCTAAATCCGGTCTCACATCAACGAAATACGGCTTTTTCACTTCCGCTCAAATGGTAAGCTCGTTCTCTTGTGTTATTCTGTTTAGATTATTTTTATGTTTTAATGTACTGTTGAAAGTAGTCGAGTTGTTAAGCTTTAATTGGGTTTTTAAGAATATCGGTATTTGTATATTACCAACGAACTAAAGTGACGTACTTTAACAAGTCATCATTTCTTTCGGATATTTGCGCAAAGTTACACAAGGGTTATCTACACTAGCTGTCCAGAATTTTAAACGGATAAAATAGAGGGAGGGCAGCTAGCCAATAACACCAATCTCCAACTCTTTTGCCATTCTTAGTCGAAAAGTGGGATTTGACAGTCACTCTTCTATCAATCATTGGTCCCAGGTGACGCAAACATGGACCTTAGGATTCAGAGTCTTGCACGCTAACTATTATGCTACGCCATGCCTAATAAGTCACAGGCAGACATAAAATTCAATATGCAACAAATGACAATGTCATTTGTTTTCGGTTACCCATAGACATTACGGCATGATTTATTTTGGGTACTAAGCATTTCAAAGTCAAATACAAATATCATTTATAGGCAGTATTGTATTTTTCCTAAATTAACATTGAAACTATGGTTTACAGATAGGAAGATAATACTCCAATATATATATATATATATTTTTTTTTGAGAATATTCAACATTACATCAACTACCAAATTAATTAGGTATCCTAAAACTTAAGTCAAAATGAAATAGAAAACAAAAAAAACACGTACACACTTTGACAATATTTCCATTCTCTGTTAACAATAATATATAGATTATTTATTAAAAAGTACATTGATGAACACTTGACCTCTTTTACTCCCCCCCCCCGGAGAGAGTGCTTTTGACGCTAAAAATCGGGTTTTAATACCTATAGTGGGAAAAGCACAAATAGCCCGTTGTATAGCTTTGTGCTTAACCTTATCACGACGTCTTGGTCGTATATTTCCAAGTGCACTGGGAAATATATGTCCCAGCCGCAGTAAAAGGGTTAACAACAAACTAATTTCCGAAAGTTTCATGTCTAGCTGGATCAGAATCGCTATTTTTGCGATGAATGCTTTAAACATACGACATCATTTTTCAACAATGTGCAACGAAAGATAAAGTCAATTAAAAGATTCTGAACATCAAATAACTCTTATTCCACTGTTGAGTCATCTACAATAATTTTGTACGGATAGATTTACTATAAAAACAAAAAAAGAAGATTAACTAGCCAGTTAATTAGAGGTTTTATAAAAATTTATAAATATATTTGGGGTAACAACTAAACTTTATAAATTTATCCGATAATGGTTTAAATGAGAAGTTAGTCATCAATAAGCACACTGTGACCCAAACAATACTTTTAATTTACACCGAGACGCTTCATATACGTTATAATAATAGTAAACTTCCAGTATGATGAAAGGACATTTTTCTTCTTTGATTGGATGATTCTAAAGCACGTTGACCAAACTTTACACAATGAGAAAAATTAGATTTATCTCAAGGTTAAAGCATAATTTGTGTCAGGAAATTTTAAATATTTCATTCTTCCTCCTTTATTTAAATGTAAGTTTCGATTGTAAATCGGACAAAATTTATCAGAGGTTTTAATAAGTTAACTTAACAAAGCTATCTCTGAAAATGCCACTATAAAAATATAAACTTCATATAAAGGTCAATCGGTTTGAAATTATAACTATAAAATATAGAACAAACATTTGAATGTAGCTTTTCAGAGATTCAGATACTACCACTAGTTTCAAGTAAGGACAAGAGTAAATGACCCTATAACTCATTTTGTGTGTGAAAAATTAGTTTCTCTTTCAATAAGCAAGAGTTGAAAATATAGTTTACCTAAGAATTTGACATATATTTAATTACTGAAAACAAGTACAGTTTAAGTATGTCTTAATGTACCACGTTTTTATATTTATACAGTTACTATGTTCAAAATGAAAGTTGTTCATTATAATTAGTTTCTTTTTATTTCATTTTCTAATAGCTGTCTCATGATAAATAAATATAATACTACTGGTTGCAAGTACATCACAACTTACATAAAAAGAAAAGTCAGCTCATCAGATTTTGATTCAACAGAGATCTTGTCAATAAATTACCATAACAAACAACTTTCACATCTTTACAGAATTCTATTTTTTCCTGTATCTTTTATGTAACAAAAGCTGATGAGTGCACAAGATTCAATATTAAAACAAAGAAATATTATGATACAAAACAATATGTATAATGAAAAACATTTCAAATGCAACCCTAAAAAGTAACTACATAATTACACCTCTTTAAACTTTGTTGCACATTAACAAAAACATTTAAAACAACAAAACCCTACAAAGCTAACTATATAGATATATCTCTAAACTTTGTTGTACATAAACAAAAACATTTGAAATAAAACTCTATACAACTATTTATAATAATACACCTGTGGAAACTTTGTTGTACATTAATGAAAACATTTAAAATAAAACCCTACAAATTTAACTAAATAAATACACCTAGTTAAACATTATTGCACATTAATGTTATTGCTCAACATCTAAAATCTCTCTAAAAGTACATGAACGAAATGATTAAATTTAAAGAACATTCATTTGATGGGTCTTCATCGTGTTAAGAAATTATTAGCAAATTTTGGGTGCTTGTAATAATAAAAGTTTAAACTATTAAACTTTATTTGTTTACACAAATCTATGATTGCCTCATGACTACTTAATGCCAAAAACTTGCCTGTTATTTTTATGAACTGAATACTCAATAAAGGTACGTTATCAATTTACGAGTCTAAATGATAACATATGCAAACACTGACTTTGAAATACGTATATTTTTTACCTTCTAAAATAAAACTCAGTCACTAGGAAATTGAGCACTTTAGAGGAATGTCTGAGAGTCACCATTTTATTTATTAAAATACAGTATTAATTAACAAACAAATCTTAATTATCACTTAAACTAAAATAATCAGGAGCATTAACCTTTGTGTTCAGTGTCAGGTGGTTTACAGAAACTGATTTAAAACTGATAATTTTATTGGCAATTTTTAGAAGTTTGCCATTCACTTGAAAATTCTTAAAGTTGAAAGATGAAAGAGACAATATATATATAAGTAAGATGTCCTGGCTACTGATACCACTTAGAAGTTGTGTTTAATCAGGACTGAAACCCATAGGTACTTCTGTTGAGAGATTAAAAGAGCCAAATCATTGGCTTAATCACATGATCCAAACACTTCCAAGTAAACTACAAGGTCTATCAGCTACTCTGAGATGATAAAGGAAATGAATAGTTAGGAAGACATTTACTTTGATTATGATATAGTTGTGAATGTATACCAGAATACTTTAACTGTCATTCATAACATTGCAAGAAGTTTGTAGCTGTATTTATGACAAAGCTACTAAGGCCATCAGTCACTTTCCATAATTTTGAACTACTGACCAGAGGGAAGGTAGCCAATCAACAACACTCTGCCACCCACAGTTTATGCTATGGGATTAATTGATATTTTTATAACACAGCCACAGTTAAAAGAAAAGGGTATATTTTGTAGTACTGCAGAGATATGAACCTGGCTCACCAGTTCTGAAATCCAGAACTTTCTCATAGGGCCAACTACATCCTGCAAGTAGTATAATTTACATTGTAGTATTTATCATTATCATTTATGTTTGGAGATCAGAATATAAGTTAACTTACAGCATGGTTAACATAGATCAATGTATAATTACTTTATGCATTGCATAGATCAACGTGTAATTACTTTACTGTTTGAAACTGCTTATATCATTTGTTGGTTACTGGGTGTAAAATGAGAAGCCTACATACACAATTAGTATTAATCATAAAATTTTTAAATTATTGTTGTTCTATAGCATATAGAAAAAGATTTGTCTTTTCCTCTGGTGGATGTACTTTAAGGACATCTGACAAATCATATGATGAAGGAATGTCCTCTTCTCAATGAGAAATTCATATGTAACTATCTACTATAATGATTCAAGATATCCAAAAAGGCAGAAGGAGGCCTTCACCTACAAAAACGTTCAGAATTTTCAGGAGGAGAAAAAGTTATGTCCCACAGGAATATTTATATTCCCACCCCCCCAATACTTTACAACTGCATGCACAATAAAACAGAAAACACTTCAATAAATTTTGCTCTTACAAATTCTATCTTGTGAGCAATATCTTTAAAAAGTTTAAAATTGTTAAAATATTCGATGAAAACCAATAATAATCACAAACTTTTCTTAAAACACAGTAATTGGTTGCACAAAATATTTCTTCAATAAGTGTGGCCCAATAATAATCACAAACTTCTCTTAAAACACAGTAATTGGTTGCACAAAATATTTCTTCAATAAGTGTGGCCCAATAATAATCACAAACTTCTCTTAAAACACAGTAATTGGTTGCACAAAATATTTCTTCAATAAGTGTGGCTTATATAATAACTCACTTTAACTTAGCACACACACAAACATGTATATAAATACACCTTTTTTGTACTAATAAACATTGTGTTTACTTTTCACTACAACATATATTTATACGCACATTTTTCTGGTGGTTTTCTATCTAATCTACTAAATCATTTACAGAATATTACATAAATACTTCAGTTAAACAGAACCAAAACAAGATCAATAAATATGTAAATAAAAATTATTATGTTTTTTGTTTTCTAATACTAAGCCATCACAGCCCTTTATTGTAAAATACACATTTTGGTGGATCTGGTAGTTTACGAACAACTTCCTGAATTTCTGGCTCTAAACTGCTGATAGATATGGAGCTGATGAGTGGGAAAAAAAAATTATCAGTTGGTTAAATTTTCAAAATTACTGATACTAGATAATTTTTCAGACCAGTGCTAAAACTAAACAAAACCATTTAATAGAAATAACACATATTTTAACTTGTAGTCATACTTAAAAAAAACTGTATTCCAGTCATATCATCTTTAAACTTGTGATGATCATTTCATGTAGAATTACTTGACATTTCTATTCTACTTATTAATGGGTTTAAAGTTTATCTTCATAACAATGTGTTAGTATGAATGTGTTAGTAGTCACACATCACTTGAACTAAGAATAATACACACATTACTTTGAGTGTCTAAAAAAGACTTTTAGCAAATATCACCGTGGTTACTCTATTTCTATTATTATATATCCTTCATATGCAGAATCAGTTACAATTGTGGGTTTACGATACATAAGAAAAACACATCTTCGACATTCTAAACCCTTTCACACTCCGGCTGGGATGTATATTTCCTGTGCACTGGGAAACATACATCCCAGCTGCAGTGAAAGGGTTAAAATTACTAACAAGGCATGAGCCTTTTGCTAACATCAGCTAGTAACACAATCTTTAGATGTTAAGTACCTGATTCTTGAATGATGTTTATTGTGTGTGTCCATAAAAGTAAAAGACACAGGATTAAAGAGGACAGTAAATCATCATTACAAATCTTGATAAGGTCCTAGCACTTTAGACACGTGGATCTATCTTCATCCAGTTTTACCCCTGATGAAGACAGGTCAAAATGTCAAAAGCTCTAGGGTTCTATTGTTGTAGTTTTTAAATTTTTATGTGGTTAATTATGTTAATAATTTTATCCAAGCAACTCCAAAAATGTCTGAAGTGATTTGCCTTTCTACTTTAAAGTGAGGAAGTTGGAAGCAAAGGATAAATATATTATTACCATAGAAGTTGTTCAAATTGATAGTTAGTTAACAGAGAACTAAAAGATTATATGGATATCATTCCTTACAAGGAGTAGAAGCTTAAAGAAAATTCATTAGCTAATTATCATTACTTGCTTGTTTAAGCCACATATATATTTTTATTTAACAAGTATCACATATTTTTAACTTTACATATAATGTGAATAACTTATTTTACACAGCCTTAAAAATTCAGACACTAATATTTACATACCTCTTTTGGGGAAAAAGAGCACAGCAAAGTGGTGTTGCAAAAACCAGTCTGGTAACAAAGAGGAATTGGAAATTACACATAAACTCAAATAATGCTTTTACCTTATTCTGTTATCATCTAAGATAATTGAATAGTTTATTTATACCATATAAAAACATTCTATCAAGGGATCAAGATATTGGATACGTCATCCAAAGTATTAAATGTCCATTGATCTTTCATAAACTATAAATGAGAAAAAAACATAAAAACACAGGCTCCTATAGCATAGTTACTATACTGTCAATAGCTGTACTTTTTAATACAATGTAAACTTTGAAAACTTTTGTTCTTTCACTAAAGTACTTAGAACTTTTATATGCAATAATGTGGGAAAAAAAACATTTGAAATATTTTTCCCCTTCATGATATAAATGTAAACAATTCCAGGTATACTTACAAAAATCCACACAGGCCAACTTGAAGAGGCGCATTAATCCAAGGTAGTCTCTATAACAAACATATAACAAAAAATGAGATAAAAATGTTATGATAGTATATATTGTTTCAAGTAATAGTGGATATATATTCCAACACAATTATGTGCAACTTAAGAATAGTTTTTTTTTAAGTATGAGAGTTAAGTTTTGTAGTTTTCTAGCCTCAAGTATTATCAATGGCAAAAAGCAATTACATAAATCCAAGCAAAAACAACAAAGCATACTAGCATACTGTTGATAATGTTGTATGCCTATTATTTCTGTCAAACAAGTATTCATTGATATATTTCTATATCACTTTGTTGTTTTCTATTTTTTTCCCTTAAAAACCCCAAAGGTAACAGACATTAACAAGAAGAACTGAAATATAAATATATAATCCAAAGTATTCAAGAACAAAAAGTTTTACACATTAAACTAAGTTTCATCACAAAAAACACTATTTTTTTTCACTCTTGCATACATTTGCCTGCTTAGGGAAATGTTATAAAAACACTTCCAAATTCAAAAAATGTGAAATACATAATAATGTAGGTGAGCAAAAATGCCATTTTACCTGTAAGGTCCCTCGTTTTTCAAGGTAATTCATGATGAAAGGTGGAATTACTGTGTAAAAAAAAGGGAGACAGACACCAATATGACTTAAAACAATTAATATTCTAAAAAAATCTGAAGGTATGCAAGTATTAGAAAAATTACAATAAAATTAAATCCTGCAGCTTATGTTTGGCTAAAACAAAGATACATCAAAAACATAATGATAAAATTTTACTAGTCTTTACAGCTGTATCAATGGGTGGCTGCAGCTGAGTGAAAAGTTTGAATCAGTACAATTATACTTAAAAGCACCTCAAAGTTAGTGAAAGATCTATTGACCATAGGGTTGTATCACATATAATTATAGAAAATAGTTATATGTATGGTGTTTTGAGTTGTCTTTAATTATCCACAGTAAAACTATATTCATATAGGATTTGAAGACTATGTAGCATTGATGGTTTAATTTATTCTTCCAAATTATTTAGCAGACAAGTTATTTATTTTTATAAAAAAAAGGGTGTTTTAAAATTGGATGAGCAGATTTGTCTAGTTTAATAATCAACAATCATGGATAACCTCAAAGGGCTATTACAAGTTAAAGATTTTACAGAAAAGAATAATATTTTTTCAATGTTTTGATCACTGATGCGATCATTCTAAAGTGCACAAGTTTTAATGGGAAAGAAGGTTTTAGTATTTAAATCAACATCCAACAATCTAAAAGTGTATTAAGTTTTAGAACTGATAGTGGTTACTTATGCATGTGCATATCAATACGAGTGAATTGACAGATTATTTATTTATGGTTGAATAACAAACACAAACAATAAGTGAATTAATATTAATATGTGCAATATGTTGTGCAAAAGATTTGCATAAGATTAGAAATGTCTGGGGAAATAACAATGCCTTGTTTTTTGTTGATTGTGGGATTGTTTGAATTTATTAGTAAGGCTTCTCTGATTTTTTTCCTGTTAATGTCAGGTTCATGTTTTAATATGGCAACATTCTGTTCAGAAAAACTGTGGTTGTTTTTGTTCATATGTTCATGAACTAGGGAAGAGGGTTTCTGATGTTCTTTTAATCTTTTAATTTAAGCTACATCCTGTTTCACCTATGCAAAAAGCTGGACAATTGTCAGGCTGTATTTTGTAAACATTTCCTGGTGGGATGGATTCATTATATAATTTTCTTACCATATGTTTAATTCTCATTCTTGGGGAGATAAAGAACTTGGTCATTATGTTAAGGTTATATTTAAGTGCTAATCATTTCAAAATTTCTGATAGAGGTATTTTCTACATATGGGATAGTGCAAGTGATTAGATTTCCTTTGTTTTGTGGAGTGTTTTTTGAGTTTGTTTATTTGTTAAACGTGTTTTGTAAATTCATTAATAGTTTGTGTAACTACTGTAATAGGAAATTGGTTTACGTTAGTAAAGCACCGAGTTACGTGTGAACTTCTTACTCGACGTTTCCTGTAGAGCATATAATGTATAATAAACTTAGGAGGCTATTTAGAGTGCCTAATATCTGGTGGATTTGTCTAAAAAGACCAGGCTGGAAAAATGTTAGGAGTAGGCACACTAGAAGTATTTTAATCTGCACATTTCTAAAGCAATTTAAAGAACATAATAAATATTATATAAAGTAATGTTAGTTATCTACATAAATAAAAGAACAATGTGTATCTGAGTGTTAGCTCACATGGAAACCTAATATCGGCTAATTGTGCAGTGACACCTTTACGTTTATGTGAGTGTAAAAGTGAAAATCTTACATGCATTGTTCTATACAAAACTATGATATTCATAACATGAATTTTAAAGGCAATTACTTCACTAACATAAACACGCAAGGAAACACATTAAGATAATTCTTTGTCTTTCCTAAGCTTATAAATAATGTAATAACATTAAATCTCAAAACAGATTCCAAGAGGAACCTAAAAATCAACAATTTGACCTAAAGTTTAAACAGGCTTTGCATGCGAAGAAAAAATTTACATACAATATAATCTTTGGCAATTAGCCTTAACACTCCCTGCCACTTCATTCACTTTCGATGCTCTACAACTAACATGATGTATGGAAGAAAATAATTACGGGTTTCAGATGATATACAAATGCGATTAGGTACATAAATGCACAAGAAATTTACAAAAACAAACTCATGATGATAGTTTATTTTTTACACGTCTTGATACCATAATTTTAAAAAGTTCACTATCTTATAACTATTATATGTTTCCATCTAACGTAATAAAGGCACCTAAAACTTCTTTGTTAATACTTTAGTGGAGAGAAAGAAAAAAAAGTTGATACCATTATGAAAGAAATATAGATGAAATAGCATAAGCCAAAAACAGTTCATTTTTACTTCTTGATACCAAAAAATTTAAACAAGCCAATAAATCCTCTCCCACTGTGTTCTTTATGATAAACTCTATGGGAAAGTTCTCACAATTGTGCTTGCTATCAATGGTGTCATATAAACAGTCTAATGATAAGAGCAGTGATTTATGTTTGGCAGATTTATACTTCAGTTGCTACAGTAAAATAAACATAGAAAATAGATGTGAAAAGGTTAGAAGTAGAAACTCTCAGGAGAAGTACTTTGGAACTTTGTGGTCAATACTAAAGAGGACAGAATAGTACTACTCACTTTATTTTGCATTATTCAACCTTTAAAGTTTTATGGTGGTTATGAGGTCAGTTAGACTGACCGACCTTGTATAGAAGTTAGGGTACAGAAAATAACAGATAAAATATAAAAATTTTCTGAAAAAATAACCAAAAAACGTTTGATATTTATGTAGGAGGTTTTAGAGATTATGCAAACAAAATTTTAAAATTTTACCATGAAGAAAAGTATTTGTAATCTTAACAAGAAAATCACTTTGCACTCAGAGCAGTCAACACTCTCATTCCATATATATTCACAGACAAGTGTTTTTGTAAAAATACTTAATTAAAAATTCTTAATTTTTGTCTACAAAAGACTTGTGACCTTTACTAAAAGGTTGAAAAATTTTGTGAAGATACACAAAATATGTTAAAAGTTATAATATGGAAACTCTGATGGTCACTCCGGGGTCACTTGGTTGGCATAATCCCCAGAGTCAGTAGTGAAAGAGTTAAACAACATATTACTCCCTCGAATCAATTCAAACCAATATGGGCTTGGTCACTTTGACTATAACTTTTAATGTGGTAAGTGTATCTTTACAAATTTTGCAAGCTTTCAGTAAATATTACAAGTGTTGTTCACAATAAGTCAGATTTTTTTATTAACTATTCTGACTAAAGATTTGTCTGTGTATTTATAGTCAGAGTGCATAGTGATTTTTATGTTATGATTAAAAACACATTTTTCATTTTACATTGTAGAGGCTATTTCATTGATAGAATATGGACTGACTCTGAGAGAGGCAGTCTGCAAACCAAGATTGAAGCTCCCAGCAAAGGATGTGAATAGGTTCAGAAGTGTATGGTTAACACATGAAACAAAAAGGCTCTGAAACAGGAACCACAAGGATAGTTGGAGCAGGAAAAGACCATGTAATAGGCTGAGTGGAACATGATCAAGTGAACCATTAGTAGAGGTAGGAATGGGAATATACTCAATAACGAGTGAGAAAGTCCAAATGACAGAAGATCTGTCCTATCAAAAAATGTACCTTGATCAGAGAGAAAAGCATAGAAGAGAGAGATCTGGTTTGAGAAGTGGTAAGGTAATGCAGGAAGTAGTATGGGCTGGGTCCAGTCACTGTGACAATTCCTTGAGGAGAGGCTCATAGAAGAGGACAAAGGACCAAAAAAAAACTTGGCTCCACAAGGTCTACTGTAAGAGATACTACATGAGGGTATGCTCCAATGGAATGAGGGGTTCTAGGGAAGCCAGAGCAGAAGTGAAAGAACCTCTCATGCAGAGAGAGAATGAGAAGTGTAAAACCTGGTGACCAAATTTGCCATAGCTCACAGCAAAGATGATAGACCAAACTTGAATGAGGTGAAAGATGAAAAAAAATGCCCAAACAAAAGTACCCAACTTTAAATGAGTGTGAAAAAAGGCTTACATCCCAATATACCTCCCACCCCCAACTGAGTAGCCACCATAAAAGAAGGGAGGTACGAGAAGAGGAAACACCCAAGAATGGACTGACAGATATAAATAGCCAAATAAAAAGGATGTTAAGCCCGGGTTGTGAATATGGAAAGTGAAGGCCTTTGCAATAACAATGAATACAAGATAAGCTGACATTGAATCAAAGGGAAGAATAAATGAAGACACAAAAAGGATGGACAAGACAGAGAACATGAAGAGAGGACTAGACAAGAGAGATGTGTAGGAAAGTGTCCAACACATCAATCATGGCCAACTGCAGACTGGGTTATAAAGACTATAGATAGAGATGGAGGGAGTAGAAAAGGAAATGGGAAGACAAGAAAAGGGAAGAGGATCAAGGTAAGAGACTAAGAAAAAAAAAAAGGAAAACGAGTGTCGGCAGAAGTTGAGACCAACAGTTGGAGAAGAAAAAGGTACTCACAGAAATGTATTTATGTGAAACTTACTGACAAGAAGAGCGACAAACAAGACATCAGGTAGGAGAGACTGATCTAGACGAGTAATAGGAGTAAAGGGTATGGTTAAGAAAGAGGAAAAAACTTGGGAAGATAAGGAGGATAGAATTCATGTGACATCAGACCAGGTCACTAGAGGGAAAGAAACACCACTGAAGACATCTGGGTAATGAAATGAAAGGAAGACAAACAAATAATAAGTACACACGAAGAAGGAAGGGATACGGTAGAAAGGAATATAATCCTACTCAATGAGTCCTGACAGCAGGGGAACAAAGTATGAAGGAATAGAACAGAAGAAGTGAAACAGGCTCAACAGACTAGACAAATTCCATGCATGAGAGTGGAGGGAGGATATCCCTCTAGTAAGAAGGGAGGTGTGAGAGTTATAAGCATGAGAAAGAGAGAGAGAAAGATGAAGCCATCAGAAGCATTAAGAAGTGCCTTGGATAAAAGGTGGAAGTAAGGAGAGGGAATACAGAAGGGTAGAGAGAAAAAAATGGAAAATACACAAATGTGGAACTATAAAGGGAAATAGAAAGTAATGGGTTCAATCCAAAAGCTGGTCAATTTTCTCACTTTCTGACCCATGGTTTATCTTGTCTTTTCTCCTTACTTGTTATTAGGTTTTATAGTGCTTCCTTTATCATGCCCAAATGCCTTGTCACATTAGTGACTTTTTTTGTCCCTATTTGTAGACTTTCTTCCCTTCCTTTTCCTGATTTCCTGTCATTGGTATCTATAAGAAAAATAATTAAGAACACATGCAAGAGAGGTAGAAAGGAACATATCTGAGAAGGAACTCCAGAGAGCCTGAAAAGTTAAAATCATTTTACGAATGCTCAAATACTACCCAAAGCACATCAGGTGAAGC